CGAAGACCCACAGAGCGGCACACATTGAACTTCTGTGCTTTTTCACTAATTTAAATCAAAACAGCTTAATTTCATTAAGATACGCCATTTGAATGAAAGCTTACCAATGACACATTTATCGATTTTAAGTTTGTAATGTGAAGCCAATATATGATTTTTGGAACCAATTCACGTTCTTAAAACATTTCCCGAGGCCCCGGGCCCTGTGGATTAACATCCAGGCCACGGACAGGCCATCTTCCTCCCCTGGGCCAAGGCTCAGCCCCTCCGCCGCGGCTTCTCAGACCTCCTGACCGTTACCAAACTGAGGGGCGTCCCAGCAAGTCAGGGCCATGGGCTCTGCAGAGAGGCCCAGCCAGTGAGCACCCTCCGGGGTTGGGAAAGCGCCCCCCCCCGTTCCCTCTCCACGCACCACCGACCTCCTCCGCCCCGGTGGCCCTGCCGATGGCCCTCGGCAGTTATGTCCAGAAAGGTCCACGTGTATGTTTTGTCTCTTATGAGCCTCTGGAGACCAGGCCCTCCACGTCCCCAAATACCCCATATGGGACCAGGAAGAAGGCACTTGTTCCTTTTACAACCTTGAGGTTGGCTTGGGTGGCCTTGCAGGGGGTGGCTGTTCCCTTTACAGGGCCGTGTGACGTTGGGCGTATTTGCTCCCTTCCCAAGCCTCACTTGAGTTGTTTGTAAGGTTCACAGAGCTGCTGCGAGGACGCGAGCAGGTGTCTGAGTGGTGGCGTCCCTCCCCCAGGGTGGCACTCTCAGTCCGCGCCTGGTCCAGGGTCTCAGTAAGAGGGGGTCCTGGAAGGAAGTGAGCAGCCCTTCATTCTTCAACAGCACCCCAAATAATCCACTGCTTGGAAAAGTTCAAAGAAATGCCAGCAATTTATTGACTTCCTCTAGCTCCAAAAAAAGCGAGTACATAGCATATGACACAGGCAAACTGGGCCTGGCCAGTACAAAGCTCTTACACAGACATGGCGCAGGCACAAGGGGTTCCCGGACACTTCACAGCATCTGCTGCCCAGCTCACAGCCTCAGCCGTCGCCGGCTCAGCCGTCCACCTCTCAGCCAGGCTCTCAGGTGGACAACAGCATGTCACCGCCTCCTGAGTCCCTGGACTCACTGCTGCGCTGCTGGCCTGGCATCCACTGGACAGGGCTGGTGGCCAGTGCCTGGGTCTGTCCAAAGCCCAGGAGGCCTGGGGTCAGGGCATCGGGGGGGCCTGAGACCCTGTGTCCTTCTCACTTGGCCCCAGGCTGGAGCGCCTTGTCTCGGGTGTCTACCCTGAGCGTGAGGCCAACGTGGGCTTAAAATTCATCGACGCGCCCCAGCTATGCAAAGCCAGCACCCCGCTCCCCTGCTCAGCACATGCACCCTCAGGCCCCTCTCGGTTTTGCCTCTTCCAAAGTGATAGGCATGGGTCCTAGGCCAGGCGACAGGCCCCGCTGGCCAGTCTCAGGAGACACGAGAGAGGTTGCCAAAATCAGGCCTGGCCTAACTGTCCACCTTCGACTAGACTAGATAGTCCTCTCACACGGCGGCCCCCAGCGCCAGGCCCCCCACCCCCGTCGCCCCTGTCCTTCAGGAGAAGGTCAGCGCATGAGGACAGGGCTGTGGTCTCTCTGTCCATGTGTCCTGAGTGCTGTGAGGCACACTCCCCGGTACAAACTGGGACTCCACACGTTTTTTTCAAGAAATAAATTCCTCTGGGCCTCGATGTCGGGCCGGTAGTCATCCCGAAACCCTCTTCCAGGACATCCTGGTGGGACCAGGGTCACATGTGGGCCCTGAGAGGGGTGAGCCGGGACCTTTGTCATGAGCAAAGCGTGGCGGGCGGCATGGGGGGGGGTGTCAGATTCACAGCACCGAGGACGCTGCTTGAAGGGCGGTCCTCGCAGGCCTGTCTCAGGGGGCACATCTTAACAGGCACATCCTCAGTCCAGAAGGCGGTTTTCCATTCTGACTGCTGGGGTCAGAGTGGGGTCGTATTGGGGAGCAGGGGGGCAGCAGACCTCGAGGAGGAGGAGGGGTGAGGGGCACAGGCCAGGCGGTTGTGCCACTTAATGCTGACAGTGCCAGCACGGCCATGGGGCTGGGACGGGAAGGCCTGGGCACCTGCGCCGGCTGCATCTGCACAACACGCGGAGGGCTATTTACAGCAAGCTTCTCTCAGGAGGCCCTCGCGCCGCTTCTCATCTGAAGCGCACGAGGCAGGGGTCTCGGGTGTGGCTGGTCCCCGGGACGGACGTGTTTGATCACCACCCCTGTGGTTTCACAAGGAGAGTGGAGACAGGACGGCTGGGGTTCAGGGGAAGGTGGGGACAGCCTCTGGCTGGGGCGCGGGCTTGCTGGTGGCCTCACAGGACCGTCCCCTTGGCTGGTCTACCCGAACGCCCTTCCTCCAAGTCCTGGGACCCAAACGCGCCCTCCCTTGAGTCTCCCAGTCCCACGAGCGTGGTGGGAAGCACCCTCCCGGTCAATTTCCAAATGGCCCATGTCCCACTGAGGCTGCAGGAGGTCCCTGCCCAGCCCCAGCCTGTCCCCCTACCCCAGGGAATGTGAAGACCAAACAGCCATTCCCTGAACAGCTCTTGGGCTTGGAGCGCCATTTTGTCATCTTTCTCCTGCAACAGGTGGATTACCAGCCCCCTGAGGACCATAACTACAGTTACAGGCTGCGCCTGCTCTGCCGGGCACACAGCCGAGGACACGGAGGGCCCCTCTCTCCGGGACAGACCTCGTGTCGCAGAGTTAGCGTGACTGTCCCTGCTGTGTCCAGCGCAGTCCCCGGGGCACCTCGGGAAGGGCGGCGTTATCGGACAGCTGGACTGCCCGTAGACACGCGACCTCCCCGCCCTGGCTGACCTCCCTTCCTGGAAAGCGCCTCTGAAGTGGGGAGGTTGGCCCCTGCAGGATCCTGGGAGGCCCCCGCCCCGGCACGTACATTTCGGGAAGTAGGGGCAGCTAACCAAGCACATGTACTCGCCTTTGCTTAAGAAGCATTTTCACCACCTACGAGCTGCAGTCAGACAGCCAGCCTAGCTTTTTGCAGTCTGTGGTCAACACTTTAGGCGCTCAGGCACACACGCACGGGTGCACATGCACACACTTACACTATACACACACACACACATATATATATATTCCATTTCTCAGCAGAGGAAGTATTGACATCAGAAAAAAAATCCCTTTAACTCAAGAAAGGTCCCCCCTCCCCTCCCCTACCCCCCATTGCTTGCCAATTCTCCCAAGGGGGGGAAAAAAGATTCTAAAAATATTTCCATCATCCACAGTTTTTAGGTTTGTTCTCAGTTGCTTTGAACGTTTCCAAATACTGCATAGGTGGACAGAATAACCCTCCAGCCGGGCTTGAGGTCTCCTCCGAGGGGTCGTACCATTTCTGAAAAACAGGGAGCCCTCCCGTTAGCGAGACGCAGGCACGCCGGCAGCTCCAGCGATGCTGTCACCCCCTCCCCACCACGTCTGCCCCGAGGTGCGCTGGCCTGAGCCTGGACCCTCCGACACATTCTAGGGAGCTTCCGTAGCGTCTGAGTGTGTCAGCTCTCTCACTGCCATGCCCACCCCGCCGTCCCACCCACACGCTGCACGCCCAGCGCTGAGCACTTAGATGGTGCATTTGGAATCTGCTGAGTTTACTTCTCTCCTTTTTGGTCCTCAGGCTGATCCTCGTCCGCCAGGAGACGGAGTCTGAAGTTTGATTAAACCTTCACCTGGACCACAGATACAGTCCTCTCCCCACCAGGACCCTCCTCAGGTGTCGGGCTGCTGGCAGGTCACCGGGGCTTCAGCTCAGGTGGTCCTGCCCTCACCCTGGCTCTCTGCAGAGGCTCCACCCTGGGGCTGCCTCTGGTGACCCTCTCTAAGACTGACAGCGTCTGGTTTGCGTGTCTAAGTGTGGTCCTTGGCTTCCCTGTGTCGGAAACGCGTGGCACGCTTGTCTACGAGTGCATTTCCCACTGTGAGTCAGAAGTGCTGGGGCTGGGCCAGGAGTGCGTGTCAGCAAGCACCCCAGGTGATTCGAACGAAAGCTGAGGCTCGCCAGCCTTTGTCATACACACTGGTTCTGAGTTTTTGGTCCCTAGAATCATCCGCTGGAAATAAGCTTGTCCACACTAGGCATGGGCAGAGACTGGGACGTGGGCTGTAGAAAGGGTAAGGAGTGGGCAGTGGGTGCCCAAACCCAGAGTGACATACTGCAGGCAGCTGTCCACACCGTAGCCCGTGTGAATGGCGTGACCTGGCTTGTGCAGTGTGCAACCTGCACGGCTGTGCCCAGCAGCTCTGCCCAGACCTCCGGCCTGCTGGCGCTACCAGGACATTGCACATGCCTGAGGTCCTGTGGTGGGCCGGCCCACGGCACCCTGGCCAAGCAGCCTGCACAGCTGTCCTCACAGCCCTTGTGTCTGCAGAGCCAGGCCGTCTGCTATACCCAAGGATGCTGTGTCCCTGGGGAGCGCAGGCCTGGCCCCTCTCTCTGAGACTGGCTGCGGCTGCCACAGGGGTCCTGGGGGGTGGGCCCTTCTTACCTGCAAGCTGAACTTGGTTGGGCAGCCTCCTCTTAGAATCGGGAGGTGAAGTTCCTGAGGCTGTTGGCCCCGGCTAAGGATCCCAGCATGTTCCTGTCGAAACCTTGCTGCAAGGAGACAGACGGCCACCATGTGAAACACACGGGGACCCAGCCACCCAGAGCGTCCTCGGCCTCGGGCCACAGCCCTCGGGACACGCTGAGGATGTGTGTCAGGGCCCAAACACAAGGCCATTAACCCGGGAGTCACCGAGAGGTGTCGGGACTCCCACCAGCCCGTGTGAAGTTTCGTCCTGCCTTTGCAGGAATCCGATCACGGCGTGAGGATTTAAGCGAGCACGCATCACTCTTTAAACAGAACGACAACCAAAATCAGGCTGGAAGACTGTTCGCTGCCCTTCTCTCGGTCCTCTCGGCCCCCACACTGGTGTGGCAGGACTCTGCCTAGTGTTGCCTTCATCACGAAGCCCTCCTCTCAAAACCCCCAGTGGCTCCCCAGTGCCAACGGCAAACCCTCAAGCTCTCTGGGCTGAAGTTGAAGGGGTCAGAAATCCAGCCCAAACCCAGCTCTCCGGCCAGTGTGCACATCACACCCCAAAGGAGCCAAGTGCCTTTTGCCCGCCCTGCTTGTCCGTCTGCTCCTGGCAGTTCCCGCCCTAGGCCTCTGACATGTGCCCCCGGTTCCCTGTGTCCCCTGTGCTCAGATGCTCTCAGAGGCTGTCACACTCAGTGTCCTGCACGCATGTCCCTGAGCTCTGGCTCTGTGTGTGTGTGTGTGTGTGTGTGTGTGGGTGGGGGGGGGCAGGCATTGTGCCCGTCCCTTCTCTGTCCACTTGGACTTGGTTCACGCAGGGAAAATGTGGGGGAGCCTCCCAGCAGGGTACAGGGGTGGGCCTTACCTGTCTGAGGATACTCTGCAGCTCCTTGCAGGACCACATGTCAGACAGGAGGAGCCGGGCAGCTTCTGCGGCCTTGGGTGACGCACTGGGCAGGTGGGAAGTTCATTTGTGGGTGAGGCTCTGGGAGGCATGAGAACAGGCCCTCCTCCTCCCACCCTCACCCCCAGGTCTGGGGGGACCCCGGGGGTGCACGAGACAGGAGCTGCCTTCAGCCTAGGGCTGGTCACGCTACACAGAGGGGACAACCCCACGCCCCTGCCACCTGGAGGTTCCCCAGGACTGTTCTCGGGGGCCATGAAGGGAACATGTTCTCCATGCCGGCCCCCCCAGCCCTTGTCCTGGGAGGAGGGAGCCCCACGAGCAGAATAAAGCGCCCACACCCTGGGTCAGCTGCTCCCGCCTCCTGCCGGCCCTCTGAGAACTCTGTCCCCTGGTGTCCCTGATGAGAAGTGCGCTGCCCTGGGGCCTGGCTGCAGGCGCCCTGGGCTTCTGCCGTCAAGCCTCCCCTTCTCCACCCGGGGCACCGTTACAGCCCCACGTTTGCGCCTTCTCAGAGAGGTGCAGGGCTGCCTGCTGTGCAGGGTGGGGGCTGCGCTGTGGGGCAGGGCTGGGGCCGCCCCTTCCCACCCACCTGCTGCGGCCCAGGTTGATGATGTTGTTGATCATGCCACTGGAGAAGTACTGCCGGGCCATCTGCGGCTGGGAGGCCATCAGGTTCCTCACGGTGTAGCAGACCGAGGACAGGATGTCCTCTGAGTTGCTGGTGTTACCAGTGTGGCTGGTGAGGAGTCTGGTCACCTCAGGGAACACCTGGTTCCCTGGGAGGGAAAGGAGAGAACGCACGGGGTCAGTGACCGAGGCAGAGAGGGGCCACAGCACCAACTGCCGTCAGCCAGGCTCCGAGCAAGGCGGCCCCTCGAGGCCCCGTTCCAGCACCTACTCAGGGCGTGGGGCCCAGACGGGACCTCGCACACCTGCTGTTCATCCCGGGTGACCTGTCCCTTCGTACCTCTGAGCTTCCCGTCCCTAACGCTCACCCTGGGGAGTGGTTAGGGGGTGACCTTCCAGCAGCCTGTGGAAGGCAGGGTCTGCGGGAGTCCTGCCTAGAGGGGAGGGGTGGCCTGGCGCCGAGCTGACACTCACCCATCACTCTGTGCAGTGCCGGGTGGCGGGACATGTTGCTGAGCAGGGAGGCCCCGGAACGCACCACGTCAGAGTTGCCCGATTGCAGGAGACGGGCGATCTGTGGCAAGCCTTTTTCCTTGAGCCCAATCAACTGGCTCATGCCGTTGGACATCTGGACAGAAGGACCGAGTGAGGACCCAGCCAGTGGCTCCTCAGGCCCCGTGGAGGGGAGGAGGCCAGGAATCCCACAGAGACACCCCACACTTTTTCTCTTTCACGGGGCAGCTGGGGACACGGGGCGGGCGGGAGGAGGGGTGCGGGCGGGATGGGGGGCCCCTTGCTCACCAGCCCCTTGCTGGCGGTCAGGTTCTGCAGGGCCCCGGCACAGGCCTCCAGCGTGGCATCTTTCTTGCTTTTGCCCATGAGGTTCAGATAGGTGCGGATGGCGTCCGAGTGGTACAACCAGCTGCTGCCCTTGGGGTTGGTTTCTTCCTCCGGGAGCGGGCAGTCGTAGTTGTTGTTCTGAGGACAAAGGGCAGGTCACCAGGGAGCCTCTGAGGGGACCGAACCCAGGCACGCTCCTGGCTCCTGGCACCTGCACGAGCCCCTTTCCTCGCTGAGGCGGCTGCAAGAGTGACCGAGGGACCAGCCGTGTCCGAGGGACAGGGAGCCTCTCGGGCTCTTGGGAAGTGTGGCCATCCTCGGCTCAAACCTTCCAGCTGCGCGAGGCTGCTTTTGGGTCTCACCCCATGATTTCCTGTTTCCTTCCCCGAGTGGGAGCTTGACCCACCCTGGGCACAGAGGGTGGTCCAGGGCCTGACCTGCACAGCTGTGCCAGTGGAGGAAGCCGGGCCTCTGCCCCCTCCCTGCTTGTTGGAGAACCAGGGTGGCTCAGGAGGCAGAGGGAACCGGGCCAGAGAGGGTTAGCCTCCTGGCTACCCCAAATCCTCAGGAGTAAGGGGGACGATGGGGACACCTTAGCAGTTACACAGGACGGAGGAATGAGACCTGCAGGGAGATAGACCTGGGGACCTCCGGGGCGGCTCCCCACATACAGATTCCTTGTCTGTGTGAGGGACGGCTCTCTGCCCAGCTCCCAGAGGGCAGCAGGCTCGCCGGACCGCGGCTGGGACCGGGCTTGTCCCCCGGGGCTGGCTCCAGGCTCCCGCGGGGCAGAGAGGACAGGGCGGCCGGGACCTGCTCACCACCATCTTGTCGCTCTTGTTGCTAAAGCAGCCGGTAGAGGACTTCTCCGTGTAGGCGTTACGGGTGTTGTACTCCAGCTGGCGGTACCGGGTGGGCACCTCCGCGTCCAGGCGGTAGGAGAGGTTATGCAGGACGCACATGCAGTTCTCCACGGACTGGGGGACAAGCAGAGCACGCGCCTGAGCAGCTGCCCGGCCCCGGGGCCACTCCCTGCCTCACTCATGGAAGGCCAGGCACATCCGGCTGCCCCCACCACGGACCGGAGCAATCGCCCAGAACCTGGATCGGAACCCGGTCCCATCATTTCCTGCCGCTGTGAGCAGAGAGACTGGCTCCACCTTTCTGGGCCTCACGCTCTCCAGCTGTAAAATGGGTCTGAAGTCCCCTACTTCTGGGCTATAGGAAGATTACACGTGGAACGTACCTATCATGGAGCCTAGCACTTAGTAGGACAATGGACAGAGGTGAGTTCCTCTGCTGTGGCCAGCGTGCCCGTGGTCAGGCTGGGCATTCGGAAGACATGTCTTCCAGCCTGGCGCACACACCGTCAGGAGCAGCCCTGACATCTGCAGGTCCAAACGCCATCAAACCCCATGTCCCCTCCAGTCCCTCTTTTCGTGGCTGGTCCCCAGCCTCCAACAGCAAGGTGCTGGCCCATCCCACGTGAACAGGGGACCCCACAGCACGGCTCCCTGAGACCCGCCGTTTTCCTCTAGGGAAGCAGTCTGGGGTTTGGGCGGCAGATTTGTGCTCCTAACGAGCAACTCCTAACGTTTGGGCCTGAGGGATCTGCCTCCCGGGGTCTGGGTTACACAGGTACGGGGGTTTCCCTCCAGAGCAGGAAGGCACGGTGCCCACTGGGACCAGGCTGAGCAGACAGGGAACAGGCTCTGTCCTGAGGCCCTGTTGTCACCTCCAGTGGAGGTGCCCCCTGGGGCCACGCTCTCACCTTGTCGTCACAGCGGCTGGCTGCCACGCAGTTCTGGACATAGGCCATGAGGGCGTCAATGAGCCCCGTGTAGTTTCGCATGGTCTGACGTCCTGCGTCCGCAGAGCTCAGGTTCCTGACGGAGGGCAGAGAGGCAGGGGTGAGGGGAAGGGGGCAGGGACAGGGGTGGGGGACAGAGGAGGACAGTGGGGGACACGCAGGGCACAGCAGGTGGGGGTAAACGGGCAGAGGGGACAGGTGGAGGTTGGAGGTGTGACGTAGGCGGCAGAGGAAAGGAATGGGGAGTGAGGAAGGGCCGACCACGCAGCGGGCCCGGCAGCCCTGAGCGCGGCTGGGGGCAGAGGGCGTCTGGCTGGAACGCAGCTCGCTTCACCTCTCTACCTGCCCACTGAGTCCACCTGCCATAATTTTATGATGCCCAGTGGCTCCAGGGCAGCTGGCAGCCCAGGCACACACCTGCCCTTGTGGGCACTTGTGGAACAGGGGCTGGAAGCTCCTGTCTGCCCCGGCTCTCCCTGTGGGGTGCAGGGGCTGGGCACTGGATCTGGGAGAGGAGCCAGGGGCCCCCTTCCCAGGGGAGCTGTCTTCTCCCCGCCCCCCAGCAGCCCGGGACCCTATGCCTGGGCAGCCCTGCAGCCCCATAAAGGCCTTAATTACCCCGGCTTTTCATCTCCCTGGCCTCCCTGTTTCCTGAGGTGCTGCTGGAGGCTGGCAGGGAGGAGGGACACAGCTGAGACAGAGGCCCATGCCAACGGCACCCCATTCTGGGGAGGGCTCCCAGGACTTGGGAAGACAAACCCCTTAGAGCCAGGTGTGACCCCACAGGGATTTGCTCCACCTCAGGACCAGCTCCCGCTCCCAGCTTGTAAACCTGTCCTGGAACGAACACACCCAGGCCCCGCCCACCCCCCAGGGGCTCCGCCACACCCTGGTGAGGAACTCGGGACACTGGGCAAAGCAGAGCCATCTTCACGCCAGTGACTATGGGAAAGGGCTTGAGCACCACAGCCGGGAAGTGACTCATTAGCAGCCAATCCATGGACTTTTTGTCTAAAAGCACGCTCTTCAAGACAGTACAAGAAATGCATGTTTTCGGGGGTGGAAGGTGGGGGTGGGCAGGGGAATGGTTGAACCAGTTTGGATATTCAGATCTCCACTCAGATTCCTAACAAAGTCGGCTCGGTCCCTCAGAGGAGGTTGACTGGGGAAGGGAGGGCCCGGGCTGGGGTGAAAGGACCCCGCACGCCCTCTGCGCTCACCTCAGGCAGCCCGTGGTGTTGAAGAACACCTCGGGGTCCACAGTCTCCCGGGCCAGGTTGCTGTTGCCGTCGCAGCCAGAGAAGGGGATGACAACGCGGTCGGCCAGGACAGGCAAGGCGTCAGCAATGAGCTCTTCTTTCAGCTCGTCGGTGGAAGACAGGTTCCAGAGCAGCCCTGCGGGTGGGACAGTCAACCCAACACATGCCAGGCTCAGGAGGACCCCAGGACCGAGGAGCCACCCAGCCCGCTCTAGCCATGGAGCCCACGGAAACGCCACCTTCCCGCTAGACCTGGCCCCTCAAATCTGCTGGCTCGTTGTTTTCTGAGCTCATTTCTCAGTGTCTCAACCAGACTGCAGGTTCTCTGGGGCAGGGAGCTTCTCGAGTTCTCTGCCGAGGTCAAAATTATGCATATGGAAGGTGATCATAAAGCAGTGACTGACCAGTGGTTTTCAGTCTGAATTTTAGCACTCACAATCTCCTAATGCTCTCTTTTTTTCCACCTAAAAGTCGCTCTAGAAATACCATCCCTGTTACCCGGTCCGTGGTGTCCTCTGCCCCATCCAATCCAGGGCCCCTGGTGACTCTGAGTGCTTAGCGTGCTCGGTGGACCCCGCGTGGGTGCCGAAGACCTGCTGGCCCCTGTCGCTTCAGCCCTACTCTCCCCTCTTCACCCGAAAACCCAGGCTCTGCTGGACATGGGTCCTGCCTGGACACCAGCCCTCCACCCTTTGCCCAGTAGCCTCCAAAAGACCTTGACCCCTTGTGGGCGTGCACCATGCCCAGGGGCACCATCTAGACACCGTGAGCCTGGCCACGCTGGTGCCACGGTCACCTCGGACATTAGCCTGAGGCCAGCTCTGCGCCTGCGCCCGGCCCAGCCCCAGGGACTGCCCACACCCTGCCTGGGGCCACCGCCTCCCGCCACCAGCTCTCCACGCCGGGCCCCCTACCGGTCAGCTGTTTCTGGGTCTCGGCGCTGCCACTTCTCCTCAGGAGGCTGACGGCCTCACGGATCCCACCCTGCCTCCGGGTCTCCAGCTTGTTGGTGGTGCTACGGAAGACCAGGTTCCGCAGGGCCCCGGCCGTGGCCTGCTGCACGTTCTGGTTGGGGCTGCGGAGGAGGTCCACCAGCTTGCAGATGCCCCCGAGCTGATAGACCTGCGGACACAGGTGCCACGGCGCCCGGTCAGGGAGGGGAGGTACCTGCACCAACCGCTCTCAGCCCAAGAGTCGGCTTTCAGTTCAGAAACGTGCAAGCCAACCCAAGTGAACAAGCAGTGGGACGTGACAGTAACTGACCAGACGGGGGGACTCAGACCCCGACCCCCCACATCCTAGTGGAGACCCTCTGAGGGGCACTCCTGCCCCCAAGCCTGACCTCCCTCCTCCGGGTGAGGCCTGAAGGAGAAATAGGTATAAACACACGTGAAGATCTTAAAGCAAAACAGACACAGGGGGCTCCCACAGGACCCCTTACTCCTACGGTGGAGACCTCAGTGGAAATGAATCCCGGGCTCTAGAAAACCCATTTATAGCCCTACGTCCTTGGGCTGAACTGCAGAGTCCAGTGGGTGGCCCCCGCCAGCCAAACGTGGGAGGCAGGGACAAGCCCTGGTTTCCGCCATGGGTGCCAGGCAAAGGAGGTCATGATTTGGAGACAGACAGACAGACAGACAGAAAAGGGGTGGGGAGTAGTCATGTTGGTTAGCGGAATTTGAGAAAGGGGATTTCTGTTGACCCATGACTGTCACATAAGTGACACTGACCACTGGAGGGAACAAGCCTGAGAAATGTCCACTCAGCCAGAGGGCTTTGCTCTGCACAGAGGTTAAGTTGGCCAGCTCTGACCTTGAGCAATGCCGAGCACACTCCTCGGCCGGGGGTGGGCTGGGGAGGGTGGCACGGGGGGCAGGGTGAGAAGGGACCAGCTGCAAATGCCCCATCTCTCCATGCAGGGTCAGGCTGATGCACCCAGGCCCCTCCCAGGCCCTTAGGGACAGGGGAAGGTGTGCAGCTAGGTACCTGCTGCTTGGCTGATTCATCCTGGAAGCAGGTATGCTGGATGTAATAGGCCCCGATGGCCTGGTACTTCTCATCCTGGGAGCTCAGGTACTGTACAGCCTTGGGGATGGTCAGCCCACTGCACTCGATGTCCTCACTGCAGATCCTGCCAAATGGGCCATGGGG